CTGCCTACTTCCTCTGGTGGACTGCAGCGCCGCCATCACCCAGGATGTCTCTCGTAGCAACGGACACGACCACGGTGAGTCTGATGATGTGGAGCTGCTTCTGTGCTTTTATTCCAGTGAAACCAGAGAGATGGGCTAGTTAGGTGTGTGCAGGAGCAGAAAGTGAACACACGGTTTCAATGAACTCTCCACAGCTTTGCACAACATCAAAGGATGGCCTCGGCTTTCTGAAGAAACGTGCAGGAACTGTTTTTCCAGCCTCCGTCACAGCTGATTGAACCTGAGTTGATCTTCTGAGCGGTGGGTTTGGGCTTCCAGTCAATATGTCAGTGCACGTGTTCACCTGCTCCAGGAAGAGCTGCTGACCCTCCGTCAGTCTTGACTGAACCTAGACGGGCTCCCGCAGTCTGTCATTGATTGAACAGAATGAACTGCACAGTATGATTCTGATTAGACTGAACCAGGAGTGGAGCTTGTGGTTTCTGTACATGTAGAGACACCTGGCCCGTTACATGCATGTTGGGCTCAGCACAGACTCTGTGGAGAGTTGAGCGACTATTTAAAAACCCAGTCAGAGCGAGAACGACAGCTGTGTGTGACAGCTGCCAGCTCAGCTGGATGTGTTGGCAGCTTGTCGATACTTCAGCAGAGGCGTGACTCAGCTCTGCTGCTTGTATTTCTGAGCATCACTGATGCCCTTTCATTACTGTTTTGACTTTGAGATTCTTCCTTCAAACACTGCAGTTAACCCTCAAACGTTAGTTGAGACATTAGAGCGATGTTCAGTCGATATGTGAGCCCGGAGACAACCCGATTCTGTCCACGAGTTCAGCTGGTTTGAGTCAGTTTGTGGGCTGCTTCTGCTTCATCATAATTGCTAGCATGAGCAGTGAAGAGCTTATTAATTACCACCAGCCTCCACAAGGATCACACAGGTGAACCCTGGATGGCAGAGGGCTTCACAGACCTGCCTCTTAATGAGAGTTTGTCATTTCATCATGTGACCTGCATTGTAGTGGACTCGCCTGGTCTGAATGCATCAACATTAAGTGCATGTCAGTGCATCCATGTGCTGTGAATATGTCTGAGACAAAGCTACAGAGAGAAGATTGGTCATGTTAAATAAGGGGTGAGATGAATCATCAAACCAGAAGATGCACTGAGCTCATTCAGAGCTGCTCTGCCTCTGTTTGTTCTGATTAACACGAGCTTGTGTGATCTGTCTGTTGTTTTCCCCCTCAGTCACCATTAGTCAGCTGTGTAGAACACGGACGTTGTGATCCGTCCATCACATGGTGTGTTTCATCTGCATCTTTCTGACCCCCTACAGCCAATCTGGTTGTAGCCGGTGTCAGTCTTTTGGCGCACAGTGTGTGTCTGTTCTGACAAGCGGAGGTTGTTGTTTAGAAGCCACAGGGCTCACTGAGCTTCTTATAGCAACACAACAGGCTTTTGTTTCCCGCTGCCCTCAGACATTCTCTGATGGATTACTGCTGCGACCTGTGGAGGTCACATGGCGTCTCACTGCTTTGACCTTTCTCTGTTACATAATAAACAGAACATGAAGTTGAACTCTGGGACAAATGCGTCCGCATCCTCATGTACAATGCGCACCGAGCAGAAAGAGGACTCGGAGTCCACTTCCTGTCTTGTTGTGGATCTCAGCTGGTGTCCAGAAGGGTTTACTTGAGCCAGCTCTGTTTCACAGCTTTGAATTCTCATCTTGTGTTTGATTTATTTTTTTCACCTTCTGTTGATGGTGAAGCTGCAACAGGAAACGTTAACACACAACAAAGGTCGCAGCCTGAGTCTGACAGTTGGGGTTTTATTTGTGAAAATGCACCTTACAAATGCAGCTGCACGGCTGAGACAGATGTGTGTCTCCACCAGCCAGTCAGATTCACGGGAAGGGGACAGATGTGAAGATACAGTGACCTTTGACCTGTGACCACCAAAATCTAATCGGCGTATCCTTTTGGATGTTTGTGCCAAGTTCAAAGAAATTCCCTGTGTGTTCCTGAGATATCTAGTTCTAGGTCAGGGTTAGATGAGTGTGTGTTGGAGGCTGAAACACATGACACTAGACAAAGGCATTTCCTGAAGAAAATGCATGTGAATGCTGACTCAGTATTAACACAATTAGGAAAAGGGCTGTGTGGAAGTGAGAGAGGCGCCATGATGCCCGTCTCATTGTCCACTCTGTCGCTGCTCATTTTCCTCTAACGTTCTGTGGAGGGGATTCCAGTTCTTCCTTCATCAGTGAACCACAGACAGAGACCGTTTTCCACTCAGCAAACTAGAGTTTCCTCTGATAAGTGGAACTGTGGCATCTTCCTCCACTTGTTGAGATGTTTATGTTCAGATGCAGAATTCACGTCGCAGAGCAAGTTTGACCACCTCACTTCTTCTTCTAGAAGATAAAAAGTATGTGTTTAACGCTTGTGCTGAGATGACACGTGCACTGAACCTAATCAGACGTACAACAAATATGTTGTCTTTGAGGGCAGAAGTGTTTGCGAGGATCAGTGAACGTCCACAGTTTAACCTCTGGGACGTCTGTAGACAGACATTAAATAATAATTAGGTTAAAAGAAGCAAGAGACAAACAGCTGTTTGCAGCTGCATCTTTTTAAACAGCAGCGTGACCGTGTGTGTGACAGTGACAACCCTCACCTGTCTACAGGCCTGTGTCCAAACACCTGACGCCTTAGCGTTATTGCAGGTGCGTCCATGGCGACAGACAAGCACGTACTGACATGACTGTGTGATTTCTTTCACAGAAGAGGTCGCCGTGGCAACGAGGCCTCACATCTACTACTGTCGCTCGCCCAACATGGAGGACTTCACCTGCTGGTGGCATCCGCTGGACAACCTGACGGACGGCGAGAACATCACCTACCTCCTCACCTACTCCAGAGAGTACGTACACAGCACACACATACAGGGGGCAGTTCTTCTGGGGACAAAACTTTATGGTCCTGAATAAGTAGGCTATGCCACATACTTTATAGTTTAAGACACCCACGTACACAGAACAGAAAAACTCCTCCTCTGAAGTTTCTTACTCTGCAGTGCAACCACTCAAATAAAGGCTGTGTCCGCATCCCAGCCTTGTGTTGCTGTTTCCCGTCTGTGTGTGTCAGTGCCATGTACCCGGCTCCGGTGTGAACACCGCTGAGCTCCTAAACTGCCACACATGCACTGATGTAACTGAAATGTGAGCCACGTGCACACAAGAATAACAACCAGGTCGTGTGTGTGACAGTTAAATGGCCCTGTTTCCTCCCAAACTGCTGGGTTATGTTCGTTCCAGTTTGGTCTGATCAGAAGCTTCTCCATAAATGTTAACCATATGTGAAACGTCCTGGTCTCTCCACTGACCCCGTCACTATCGTTGCTCTCCTCTTTGTTTATTGTTACTGGTCCAACGCCAAATATTGATGACAGGCCATATGAACAGAGGAGGAGACATCCCTGTGGCTTGTCCCTGTGACCTGACACAGCGTCGCTGGTCACAGCTCCACTGACTGTTTGACTCGACTGTTGTTGTCCTCCAGGGATTAATGTGTTGGCAAGACGACCACTTATGTAAATCTGGGATTCTGTTAGGAACAGGTCAAAACAACTAAATTGTTTGGAAAGTGAGACAGGCTCACATCAAACCCTCCATGTTCCTGAGAGATTGTCTGTTTTAAGAAGCAGGACACAAGGATCAGAGTTCACTGTTTGCTCTGTATTAATGCTTCATACAGTGTTAAGCTGAGACAAACTGAATGTCAGGCTCTGTACAAATAGATAATAACAGAAAAGATGAGGTGGCCACAGTTAATGGTCTTGTACCCAAAAAGGAAGCTGAGTGTTCTTCTTCTCCCCGACAGTAAAGGGCCCAAACACGAATGCCCCGACTACATGACCGCCGGCCCCAACAGCTGTCACTTCGACAGCAGCCACACGTCCATATGGAACATCTACTGCATGAATGTGACCGCCATCACCACCCACAAGAACTACACCTCCCAGGAGCACTGCCTGGACGTGGCAGAGATAGGTGAGGACTGGGGTGTGTGGGATTGCTCAGCATGCCTCCCACTTCTCCTGCTATTTAGTGCACTGGGAGTACCTCCACCAGCAGCTGCACTCCTGTTGCTTTTGCTTGTTTCTTTGTCAGGGCATCTTAAAAACGGTCAGTTCAGTTGCATGTAAAAGTCGACCAAGGATCATGTGATCAGGGATTTCTTCTTTTCAGGGCTGAGTTATTTATTGGATTATCTCCACAGCAGCCACACACTCGGCTCAGCAGCAACAGCAACAGAAAGCAACCACATTCAACAAGGCAGTGTTTCTGCACAGTGAACCAGAACTGCCTGACAGATTAGCAGTGGGAGACCCATACAAAGACCCTGCTGGCTGATTTAATATTTATAGGCAGCCTGGAGACGTGGTGATGCAGTGCGACCAGCTGTGCAGCCACCAGTCGGAGCAGTGGGTGTCTTTAAACACAGCTGGGAGCATAGAATAAAGATAACCTGATTAGTTCTACATCAGGTGGAAGAAGAGGACTAAGTTCTCTGGTCTTCTTTTGGCAGGCAGATGGATCGGTGCTGATTCCAGTCTAAACAGAACCAGTATGTGATTGTACGTGAGAAAGATGTGGTTTTATTCTCTGCTACATTTGTTTTAGCATGTTAAAGACGGCGTGTTAGGACTGATTGGATGAATGTTTGCTTAGATGCCATTAGCTCCACACAGAACAGTAATAAAAATATAAAACTTTGCCTCAGACATAAACCTCAGCACTTTATTTAAATGCATAATCAGCAGCTGCCTATGGTGTGGAGGGCTGACTTTTTAAATGCTCAGCAACATTAGAAACACTTCATGTGACCTTGTAATTAGTCTGATGGATCCCTTAAAGCTGAAACCAGAAATCCTTTGTTTAGCTGTGGAACATTTTAGCACAAAAGAAAAACTTCAAAGATGCATTAACTAACTTCACTCTCTGCAAGAGTGAGAGTCAAATCAAACTCCAGCAGTATCCCCTCCTCTTCTCCCTCCGCTCCTCGGAGGGGTCCTCACTCTGAGCCTCGGTGTTCACCGTGTCACGCCCTGCTGGGCGTGTTCCTGTGTCCACAGTTCAGACTGAAGCTCCGGTCAACCTGACCTACGTGCTGGCAGGTGCTGGTGGAGATGAGCTGGGCCACAGGGTGCTGCTGTCCTGGAAGTACCCGGTGCCGTCGGACCTGCAGTACGGCTGGATCACGCTGGTGTACGAGCTGCAGTACAGACGACTTACAGAGCCCGACAACTGGAAGGTACAGCAACCTGCAGTCTCACAGGGTTTAACTTCAGCATGAGAAAAGAAGCAGTAAAATGTTCTCACGCCTGTAAAAGTAAAAGCACTTTGCTCTCCAGTTCTGACAGTTTTCATTTTATCACTTAAAGGAGGCAAGAAATAACACAAAGAAAGGAAACTATGAAAGAAGTGAAAGTGAAGACAATGTAGTAGTGTAACTTTAAATTCACCAGTTACATATAAAGTCTAGACATTAAGGCACGAAATCAGGGTTGTTCCTCAGATGACCCACTCTTAGTAACGGATAACTGATTGATTGTACAGTATGAACAGGTTTTAGTGGAGTTTGTATAGATTCATGAGACAGTGTCTGATTCATTTTAAGATGATAAATCCTCTTAAATTGTGCAAAAAACATGTAGAAATATCCTCATTACATCCAGGTCAATAGATTAATTTGTACTTAAAGTTAAAATTTAAGAGATGTGCAAAAGCACAATATTTACTTGGCTGGCTGTTAATCCTAAATTGCTTAACAGTAAGTGGGTTGAGGAGAAAAGGCACTTTAAAACATTTTAATTATTGTAAGGGGCAAAAGAGAGGATCATTGGGACTGAACTGCCTGCTATGGACACAATATACACACAGCACTGTTGCAAAAGAGCAGAGAACATAATCAGAGCCCCACTCCACCCAGCTCACACTCTGCTCAGACACAAAAACTGCACCCACAACCTCAGGCACAATAGATCCGACAGTATCATCACACACAGAACAAGATTCTACAACAGCTTTTTCCCTGCTGCAGTAAGACTGATGGCAAATACAAAATGTGAAAAACCTGTGCGATAACCCCTCATTACCCTGCTAAGTAGAATACCATATACAATTACACTATGTGAAATATCTGAAACTCCCCATTTTACCTGCTATCTTACTCCTGTGTCCACAATTTTATCAACTATTTGTATTCTTGTTTTTTGTATTTTGTGTTCCTTTGTATTCTTGGGTGTTCTTATATTAAGACTAGGTGTTCATTCTCTTGGCTTTAAACTCTTTAATAGACTCCAGGAGAGCCCTGCACAAGAATTCCTATATGCCTAGACTGTCTGTTTATGCATAAATGGCAAATAAAAATCTTGAATCTTGAAAAAGAGGTTTTATCAAAACACACTGAAAGGCCTTTTACACTGAGCCAAATCTTTGAACTGAATTTCTGTGTGAACCCAGGGTGCAGACTGATTCACTTTGACTGAAACAGAAACTAATGAAAGGATTTTGTGCAGTTTGGGAAATTGAAATAGGTTTTTACCTATTAAAAACACATAAACTGTTCAGAAACCCCATTAAATCTTAGTGTTTGTTTGTCATCAGGTGATGCACCCTCTGCGGGAGCCTCACTTGGAGCTGCTTGGCCTACCCGTCGGTGACTATATGGTGCGAGTTCGCTGTCGCTCACACAACTACGGCTTGTGGAGCAAGTGGAGCGCCGCACTGACAATGAGCGTCCCCGCCAGACCCGCGGCAGGTACGCCAGCACACAGTCTCCATGACGATGATGATGAAATTTTCAGGAGGCTCTGATGAGATGTGTGGTTGAACATGTGCAGGTAAACAGCTGCTGGTGGTTCTGCTGACGGGTGTCGGTGTCGTGGCTGTGCTGGTTGTCGCTGTCGGTGTTATCCCACAGAGCAGAAGGTGAGAGAATACGCTGGCAGCTGTTGGGTCGGACTATTGAGAGCTGAGACATTTGGTGCTCACCTGACTGTCGATGTTTGTGTAGTTGGCGTGTTTACTAGTGTGCTGCTGTTTCAAATTTACCCTCTTCATCATTATGCCTTCAGAATAAAGGAGTACTTCCTGCCACCTATTCCCAAGCCACGGATTATTGGCATTGACCCGCTCCTCCTGAAGGTAACACACCTTCATACAGACACTGCTGCTTTCAGGGTCACTGGGAAATCTTTCTTCTGATGCTTCTGTATTCATTTCCCTCTGTATTCTTCCATCTGCCTGCTCACTTCTCCTTGCGACCTGCTTTGTATCCTTTCCTTCTCCTTCTGTACCTGCCTGCATTTCCTTCTCGGCCTGCATCTTGTTGTCTCTCCTACTTTTTCTGTCTTCACCTCTTCCCTCTTTTCCTTCTCTTGCACACTTCCATCCTCAGAAGGGGAACTGGGATGAAATCAACTGTCACTTCAGTACCTTCCACAGCTACAGACCTCCGAGCTACACTGAGGAAGTGTGGGACCAGGTCAGCGCTGACGATGTCTGTTTCACCACACCGCAGGACTGCAGTGTTCTGTCCAACCCCACAGACACAGAGAAGGATCCCCTCGTGGTGCCATGTGACCTCATGCCTGTTAATAATCAACAAAACGCAGCCTCGTGTGTGCAGAGTCTGGCACCCTACTGCTCCTCGCCTCCCGAAGCCTTCACCCCATCTCTGGATGCGTCTTCTCCGAGGCTGGAGATTATGTCGCTGCCGGGGACAGACTACAGCATGATGGGACATCCTGGCCTTCCCAGCCCTGCTCCTGACACTTCCACTGTCACTGCCAGCCGGTCACCACAGGATTCCTACACTTGCGTCCAATTCATGAACGACAGCGGCACGGTGCACCTGGTGCCATGCCTGCCGCCAGCATACTGCTGCGAGTTCCTGCCTTTCTCGAGCTTCAGTTTAGCCGCACACAAACGGGAGAAAGAAAAGAAGGATGTTGACCACCAAGCAAGAAAGAGTTTGATGACTGGGCCAAAAGATGTGGCTGAAGCTGAGAGGAGCGGAGCTGCCGTCCCTGTGCTGCCTGTGTCTGTTGACAACAGTGGCTGAACTGTGGAGCCTGTTTTCATGCTCACAGTGAGATTCTGCTGTCACCTGTGTTCTGTTCCAGCACCTGGTGACCTGAAGGACCTCAGCCTCATCACAATGAAGCAAATCAACAGACAGACGCAAACACACCAGAACTGGTGCAATGAGGCCATGCGTGTAGGTAACCAGCACGTTAGTCTTGGATCTCAGCTCCTCTCTTTGTGTCTTCTGCTGCCTGCTGTTGTCGAAACTGCAGGTGGCAAGATTTTAATGTCAGCATCCTCATAAGTTAAGTTACCTTAAAACCTTTTAAATTTGGAAGTGAAGTTCTGCAAACAACCACTTCATGATGTCTCACACTGGAAACAAAGTAACTTAATGTTAATGCCACATCAGCACACGCTGCTCCTCCCCAAAACGCAGCTGGTTTTCTCAGGAAATAGAAAAAAGTGCAGTGTTGATATGGAAGATTCTGGTTGTTTCAGGTCTGGAGAAGAGAGATGAGCCGTCAGTTTGATTTAGTGTTCTCTGCTGGTGTGTTTACAAAGTGTTAACCTCATAGTTACACAAGACAATAAGCTTAACGTCCACACAAATACCTTGAGTGCTCCTGCTGTTTTTAATTATAGAAACAATGACTGGCTTATGTCTAGTTGTCTTGGCGAACAGTGACGTACATGAATATGTCTCACTCTACGTCTGTCTCACCCTCCGGTGTTTTGAATGTAACTGCAGCAGTCTGGGCAGATTTATTGTGCTGCATGTTTTCAGTGCATACTCCAGTATTTTGATGCTCTTTATTCCAAAAACACAACGTGTTTAAAACTAACAATTATTAACAAAAACAAAACCAGCTAAAACTCCCTCAGGAAGACACTCGCTGTGAATGTGAATGCAGAAAATCTGTGGATTTCTTTTCACCACTCTCAAGAGGTTTAATAAACTTCTCTCCCACTCTTACATGATTATTACATGTATATTACTGTATATATGAATCTGTGTTGTTGTCTGAACTCTCCAAACACTATGAAAAGATGTATTTTTAGAGACACTGACTAGTCACAGGTAGTGTTTTGTTTTTCTAAAATGAATGTAATACAGACCAGTTTTTATTTCACCATTCAAGTATGTTTTTAAAGTATTAGCATCTGCTCCACCTGTGCCAGTGTCTCTGAGGCACTGCTGAAGGTGGAAGAAAACTGGGATGGGTCCCAGAGTAGTCTGATAATTCGTAGCATTAACATATTTGAGTGTCACTGTACTCTTGCTAGGTGTGTACCTGCACCATGTGCACCGTGGCACTACAGCTATGGGATACTGACCCCGATGGACTTGACAGGCCACCTCACCTTTCTCTGGTGTCTGGAGCTTGACCAAATTCGATGTCATGCTGTTTTCTCTATGTGCCTTTGTTCATGGAGCAGTATTTGTGTTTCCTCTGTTGTGTTCAGATTGTGCTGGAGCAGCCTACATGCCACCCACCACCTGCTAAACCCACTCAGTGTTAGTCCACTTTCTACTGTGACACAAACCACTGGACAAGATCTCATTTCACCTTTAAGCACTTGTCAGACAGAAGCACTTTGGATTCGTCCTTGATGCAATAAAAAGTAAAAAGACAGTGAAATGTGTGCATGTTTCATTTCCTACAACTTAACAGAATGAGGGAGTCGAACTGATCAAGAATCCGTTGCACTGTTAACACTTGGGTTCAGCTGATTTTCATGTGCAGCAGCTCTACTTCAGCACCATTTAGTGCCAATGCAAAATAAAAGGGTGTGAACATTTTATGATAGAGCAGCTACTCTTCATGTTAGCCACACATAGTGGAGGGAGAACCAAAAGGAACCAAACATGGCATAAGTAGCTAAATGAAAGAAAAGGAGGACTGAAAAAGGGAGAAGGGACAGAAGGAAGGAGAAGAAAGTCAAAAGGAAAGAAAAGAGAAAATGGAGGGATGGAGACAGAAGGAGCAAGAACAGATGAAAGGATGAAAAATGATGGAAAGAGGGCAGACAGAAAACCTAAAACCTACTTTTTAGCTTTGGATTTTAAAGCTGTTTAAGCTGTTTTTTATTTGTCACTACATTTTTTACTTCCTCAAATATTTTGTATATTTTTATTTTATGATTTTTAAAAATTATTTAGTGTTATATACATTAGGCTCATTGTTTTATTAATGTTCACATTTATTCTGTCAGTCATCAATAATAGCACTTTAAATCAACTTTTAATTTTTGATTGATAAAACTAAAAGGAAGAGAGAAGAACATAAACAAGGACACAAGAAAGGAAACAAGGACAGGGAACAGGAGGAAGGTAAAAACAGCAAGATGACAGAAGGAAGGAAACGCATAGATCAAAAAATATATTATGATCTCATAGTAAAGTGTCTTTAAGTACCACTGTAGTTGAGTAAAAGTACTCAGTTACTTGCAGCTGGTGTTGGGTGTCAGGGCCTCCACAGACCCGGAGGGGGAGGACTGGCCAGTGTCAGTTTGGCCGCCATCGGCTTCAGACCAGATGACCTTCCCCACGCTCACACTGTGACCAACAGCACTGAGGTAAGAACACGCGTGACACAGACGCACACTGATGTAGTGTCTTAAATGAAACCCAGGAAACAGACAGACTCTGGTGAGTTTTCACACTTGGATAAGTGTTGTTTTGTTGTTGTGAGGCTTCAAGCTGTGTCCTTCTAGAGAGCGGCTGCTGCCAGGCCTGACACACTCTGAGGCAGCTGTCGCTTCACCCAAAAATAGATCCACTGCAGGCCTTGGATCACACACACACACTCACACACACACAGACTAACAACATCAGTGTGAAAACCCTCCAGAGTTTTTCCAAAGTTTTCATTTTTATTGTTCTCAACATGTGGTGGTAACACAAATGCAACATAACAGTTGTCACAGGGTCCTGTGCTAAAACAATAGTCACTTTCTTGGCATTGAACTAATCATTATTTTTATGATTGATTATTTTAATTATTAATTTTGTCTATTGAATAACAGTAAAAAGTGGAAAATCCCTGTTAGAATTTCCCACAGATTGAGATGACGTCTGTGTGACCAGCAGTAAAACATCACACTCGTTATCTGGGAAGTTCCAAACAACAGCTTGACATTTTAACTCGGCTGTTTTGGCTCTAGTACTGACTACAGCCAGGATCAGCTGAGCTTAGCTCATCATACAGGCTGAAACCAGAGCAGGCGGTGGGCAGGTTTTGTGCAGCAGCTACTGAACAAAGTGGCTTTGGTATCGGCATCAAAAGCGAAAGGGACACCAACAGTTTAACAGCCTGATAACATGACAAACACTGTGTTTTACTCTGTGAGAAGAGATGATGAAGAGGGTAGTGCAAATAAAACTCACAGGCTTTTATTTTGGTAACCTCTGCTGTTGGACTTCCTGTAGATGCTGTGATTTTACTAAACACCTAATCAATAAAAATTAGCTTGAAACGTTGCATTTATTTTTTGTGACTGTTCCTCTGTGCACATGTTGGACAGAGGAATCCGGTCTTACCAGCAGGAAGGAGGGATTTGGTTGCCATGGCGTCATCCAATGAGGGCGGAGAGCGTGGCAATCAGATTGTTCCTGATGGAACTGAGGAGGACAGGGGCGTCAGAGGGGTTCAGTCCCATTACCTCCGCTGTCCCTCCCCCAGGTGAGTGCTCACCTGATCATGAACATCTCGGCTACTTTAAACCTGCACCTTCTCCCTGGGTTCCTGGGGTTAGTAAAAATTTGCACCAAACGAACATCCACATATGTTTTCTACCACTGTGATATTTGTATGGGTAATATTGATCAGTGTTGGGACTTCACTGTCCTGTCAGCTGCAGGACTAAAACATCAGTACGGCAAAATAGAGCCACATTTTTTCAAAGAAGGTCACATGATCCACCTTTTTTTCTTTTGCATAGTTTTTGGGCTGTTTTAAATGTTGCTTTGCAAAGCAGTTACAGTGCTAAATATTATTACCACACAAAGCAAAGCAGATACAAATAAATCTGCTACAAACACTGTGACTTCTGCTGCTTGTGTTGGCTCTGGCGTCTGAACTGTTTAACATACACACTGTCCTGTTTAGTTTGTGACATGTTGTCTTGGTGTCCTGCACATGGAAATTAGCTTTAAGCTAACTCTAGTACAACTTTTTAAATGGTTTCACATTTTCCCTGTTAAATGAAATAAGCTACACAAATATAAGGAGATACAGAAGATTTTTACAGAGTCTTCCAGATGTGTATTTTTACCCTCTCAGGGGTGGTTTCTGTGAACCTCTGCTTTCTGCCTGCCAGTTTGTCCATGGTGTCGGACTCCAGGTTCTCCATGATCTCGGGCTCTGACGCTGCAAGTATCTTCATGGAGCCCATCCACCTCTCATCAGCTGTCGCCGCCAGGAAGATCATCAGTGAGGGTGAGACACAGGGTGAGACACGTGGAGGCAGGCTGTGTTTTCTAACTCCTATTGTGGTTGAGTTGGATTTGAAGTTGGGTAGTTTTCAAGTTAAAACTATAAAGCAACCATGTATTTGAATTTTACAGTAGGAATATGTGTTATCATGTCTTTCCAGAATATTTCTTTGTCCTGTGTCAAACTAGGAATGAGGAGGTAAATCTGGTGGCGAGCCACCTTTCACTTTAACACAATTGTCTGCTTTTAATAATCTGCAGCACTGGAAAACTGATTTCTACACCCATGTTCAACGGCCATCATTTAATCAGATAATCTTCAGTTACTGTGAATCCACATTTCACCCCTTCAGCTCATTACATCTCATACAGAGACAGAGATGTTTCTCATTGGACAAGCAGAGCCGGGCTGATTGAGGAAATTAGCTGTTACGACACATCACAGAGCAGTTTGTGGATCAGATTTCTCGGGTGACATGACGTTGGTGGCAGCTTAATGGACGACACGTGTTTTATCTGCAGGGAGGACGGTGCTCCCGATGAATACAGCTGTGCTAATGAGGGGCTGCTTATGAAGCTGCACAGCACTGACAGACATCAGTGTGTTCTAGTTTTGAACTGTCTGCACATGGACTCAGATGTCATTTGTCCTTTAGGATGAAGTGGGGGTACTGCACCTGTAGTCCCACTGGGAGCTGACCGTGTACTAAGTTCACCCATAAAAACAGAGGAGCAAGTGAAATGAGAGGCACCAACTAGCTTCACTACGAGGGGTTAGAAACCATACTTAAATACAGGCCCACACTGTGGCTTTACCTGTTTGAAAACCCACCTCACAGACTTCCTCAGCAGATGGCGTCTGCTCAGTTGCAGTGCACCAAACTTGTAATGTGTTTTATTTGTGAGCTCTTGAGGCGCTGGCTGCAGATTTTGTTACTAGCTCTTTCATGCAAAGCTAAGCTAACCAGCTGCAGCTGTGGCTTCATATTCTCAATGCAGTCATGAGGGTCCTGCAGTAAGAAAGCAAATACACACTTCTCCCAGTGTCAAACTGTCCCTTTAATCCACTCCTCACCTGTTGCCTTCATGCGGTCACTGTTCAACAACAACCAGCCATTCAGTGGCACATTGACAGTGTTAACCTGCTGGCGGCACATGTGATGTGATGTGTGAGGGGCTGGCGTTCTAGTGGAGTCAGCTCCGTGGTGGTCAGCTCCCCAGCAGGTCACAGTGGACTGGTTCTCAATCTGTTCTGGGTTTAATTCAGGATGTCAGAGCAATTAACTGGACTTTAATCTCAGCCTTAATTAGTCCTGGTCCAGTGGCTCCCACTGGCACATTTACAGTGATGCTTATTAATGTGTGTACTGCCCCTGACATACATCAAAAACAGAGAACAGTCAGTTGACGATCTGGTTCTGATCATTTCACTGTCATCATTGCTACAGACTGTCTATCCTCCTCAGAGCTGCCATCTCGAGGCGTGTGCACCGACTCCGTCCCAGAGTCCATACTGGAGACCGCCGAGCAGCTGATGGTGGAGGACCTCTACAACCGGGTCAGGGACATGATTGATGACCGCAGCCCCTACAACACCCCCTGTGTGCTGGACATCCAGAGGGCCATGGTGCAGGACCGCCTGGAAGCTCCCATTAATCCTGTGGACGAGGTGTGGCCCAGCATCTTCATAGCTGAAAAGTGAGTGCCCATGGGGTCTAAAGAAACTAGAGTTTTAAAAGGTAGTTTCACTTAAAACGGCCAAAGCATTGATCAGGGATCCCAGCCCAAACAGGAGCATTTAGTCCTTCAGCTCACCTGCTACTCAGGTTTAACTGTAGGTGTTTGAAGCTTGTGTTATTTTGGAGGATTTCTTTTCTGTGATGAGCTGAAAGTTCACGCTTAAACACAAGAGCCATTTAGTAGCTTTTCTGGAGCTTTGAGCTGAACCATCGTTGACAGTGGGTGGAATTAGTTCACTTGGTTTTATTTCCTTAAATGTTTTAGTCCTAAAGAGGCCCAAAAATGGGAAGTTTAAATGTCTGCATGTCCACAACAACTGAGCAAATCCTGCTAGCCAGTGACAAACATGTGGGGTTGTATAGGGTTGACAGCTCCAGAACAAGCTAATGAACTGACCTTGAGTTGTTTCATCTGATGGCTCTTTCTGAAGTCAGGAATCAACAGAACGTTGTTTTAACTCCTCAGTTCTCAGCTGTGTTAGTGCAACTTTTTTCCAAATGTATGCTAGGAAGTTACTGTTTAGACTCCTACAACCTGCAGAGAAAGTGAGGGAGAAATTTCATGCACAAGACAAGTTGTTCGTCATCTTACAGTTCTTTTTCTTTTTCAGATCGGTCGCAGTCAATAGGGCTCGTCTGAAGCGAATGGGCATCACCCACATCCTGAACACCGCACACGGCACCGGGGTCTACACGGGCGAGTCCTTCTACAGTGGCATGAACGTCCATTACATGGGCATTGAGGTGGACGACTTCACTGACGCCGACATCTCAGTGCACTTTCGACCCACAGCTGAATTCCTGGACGAGGCCCTGCTGACCCACAAAGGTGAGAGGTGGTTTGTTCTGTCTGTCTTTGCAAATAATGTATATATCTTTTTTCAGTTTTTATCTATTCTTTTCAGTTATTTAATTATCTTTTCTTGTTGTCTCAACTTATTTATTTAGCCCATCAGTCAGACTCTGGGTGCGTCAAAAATCTAAATGTTTTTATTGCTTCCAAAACAAAAAATAATTAGATTCAGTTCAGTCCTACATTTGTACATCAAAGAAATAATTTTTCTATTTTTAACTTGTGGTGGGATTGTAGCTTTTGATCAGTATATTATTTTTTATTTGTATTTATTTATCACAATTTTTTTTGTATTTTTTAATTTATT